CCACCACTGTTCTCGATCATTGCGAAGGCTTTTCATCAACACACGCCTGATCTGACTCCGCTCCTCAACGTAATCAGAGCCAGGCGGGATGAGCTTTCGAGCATCCATCAGTTCAGTAGATGCTACTGAAATCCACGACTTCTTCCTAACCTTATGGTTTACCTTACTAGCAGATATCGCTGCTGTTTCTACAGCCTTTTTGATATCATTCCAACCTGCCTCAGGGTGGGCATCACTTACTACATGGCTGGCTAAATGTTTTTTTAGTTGTTCCTGAAATATATTATTAGCTTTATGATCATTAAGTAGACCCTTAACAGGTTTCCCTGCGATATTTTTCGTGCGTTCAGTAAGGCGCAAACAAATACGTGCTCGCACTAGAGCATGGTCTGAGCCTAAACAAGTGCTCCACAATGAGTACAGTCTTCAACAAAGCCTCTCCACCGATGGCTTATGGCGATGTGACCTAGTTGGGTCCATCGTTGGGTCGGTTTTGGGGGTCACCACGTGAAAAGGTGTTTTACCTTATGCTTAAAGTTAGTGTTGCTAGGAATAGGCGGTTATCTGAGCATAGCTGCAGCAGACGGTCGCCATTATCTGTTCTATTAGCCGCGACACCATAAGATCCACCCAGGTGTCTTTCCTTTTCGCTGAGTCTACCTACTTGAGCATTAAAGTCACCAGCCATTATTACTATATCAGAGCGCTTAACATTTTGCATTTAGGAGAAGTTTAGGGAGGTTTCTAGAAAACTTATCTTCCATATCGTCTGAACTGCAGTCAGTGGGAGCGTAGGCAGATACGACGAAGAGGCAACGGCGAGTGTCGCTATCCTTCCGAGTCCGTACCGTTCCGTTTAGTCGGACAGTGCATAAGCGAATATCTATCGGAACCCAGTCTAAGAGAGCTTCTTCCGCCCTAGGACTTAATACTATGCCTACGCCGGCAAGGCCACGAGAAGCGGTATCAGGGATTCCAGAAACACAAAGCGTAAATCTTGTTGTGTCTCTATCTGCACTAGGTGAGATCAAATTGATAATTTTACTCGGGTCTTGTATGCGCGTTTCAGAGACGCAACATATATAGTATCTAAATTGATAGCCTCTATAATACTACGACGCCTAACTAGAGCTTGTGAAGAGCAGACCCTAAACTAGTAGGTATATATATATATATATATATATATATATATATATATATATATATATATATATATATATACCGACTTGTCAGTCAATCAGTCAGTTACAACGTAGAACTTCGTACGTAAGTACATAAGTTCAGGTTGCCATATCAAAGGAGCACAGAGACGCAAATGTCAATTCAAATCCGATAGTGGTAGAGATAGTAGAAGAATTACTACTAATGGATATTAGGATTTTAAGATAATATTCAAGAAGTATAATTCAGTGAGATAAGTTTATAAAGACAAAAGTAGAGGTGTTGAAGAATCCAGAAGATTAAGATTTGAGAGAACACAAGGAGTGGATGCACCTGCGCCGCTAAAAACGATTTTGAGCCATGTCATTCAAGGTCCCTAACCATCGGTGACTTTCGTTTAGGGGACCCCAACCAGGTAGCCTACATCTACCAACATGGCTTAGTCCAGTTGTCAGTGACTTCATGGATTTGTGCCATGTTTTGATTTGGCCGCCCCTATCTTTCGGCCAACCTACTCCTACACCGCGAAACATAGCTCGTCGAGACAGTCGGTAGTTGGGCATTCGTAACACATGTTGCGCCAATATTTACTTAAATAGAAAAATCAAAATAAACTTTGTATATGGGTACGGGGAATCCACCTAGGGGAGTTGGAAAATCTTCATTCCAAACAAATGGTACATATGGTTTCCAGGGTCCTGGTGGAAAGAATAACGCATGAACCTACTGTTGGTCATCGGTTACCATTGAACTACATCTCCTAACGTTACTCTATAGCCCTGTGAATTAGACTTGTGGGTCAAAGGTTCGGGGAGCGGCCCCCTACGAAAACCAGCTGCTCCAGTTTTGGCACTCGGGTAGTATCCCAGCCCATACACAAATTCATTGGTTCGTCTTGTGCATAAATATTTAGATGCCGTTTTGTTGCGTCTAACTAAACTGAATAATTATGCGAGTTGAAATTAGCTCTTAGTGTAATGAAAATATATAAATTAATTTGGTTTGATAAACGCTGATTATTAGAATGAGGGTTCATAAGCTGCATGTTCTAGCAATGTTGACTGTTAAATTTAGGCACATTTTATGACGTAATCTTTACGTTTCATGCAAGCACAAAAGTACCAAACTACACTGATCTAAAAATATAAATTTACTAGCTTCCTTAAAATAGAATAGTAAAACAGAACAGTAGACAATATTAATTTTTGATTACTGTGGCCAGGTAAAGTAATGACAACACACAATCAGATCCCATTATCAACTACAATCAGCTACCAGAAAATTATAATTGTATTGAGTAACCCTCGATCTTAAATTGGATCTGCACGATATCTTTTAAGCCTAGAGGAAATCACACTTCCACTAACTTAATTAGTCAGAAGCTATAAAACCCTAAATTTGTAAATGTTACTTTGTATTGTGATGGTATAAATTGTTGGAAGTTTTCAAGGTTATACAAAAGAGCTTCCAACGTTTATTAGTTCTTCGAGAATATTTAAAAGTTTCCATCCTAAGATGAATGGCACTTTTTAATAAATTAATTATAACACATCACATAACACTTATGTGACTACTATGATCTAAAGCTGAAATGTGAACATATTAGTTAGTTTACCGATAGACGATTTATTCTCAGCGATTACGTTTATAAGGTTATGACTTATACTAAACATAAGTTACTGAATTATTTCAAACGACTGTGAAATATTAGGAAATTCACAAACAATAACCAAATTATCAAAATAATTGATAGGTTAAACAAATAAATAAATAAATAACAAATACAAGGAGGCGAATTCAGTTCACAATATTCTGTAACTTATTTGTATTTCAAAATAAACCTTTTTGATTTGAATCAAGATTTTTAAAAACATTCATCTCTCAATCAATCATAAAAACCTACTCGTTATGCGTAAAGTTAGTTAGTGCACATTAATTAATTTCCAAAGTGGTTGAAAATGCTTGATACTTAATTCCGATTTCGACTAGGTGTGAATCATCGAAATTCGAAATAAATAAACCAAAAACTATTTTTATAACTGCAGGTGACGTTCTGTTGCATGTGTGATAATCAAAATTTAATCTAATAATCGGTAGCCATAGTTTAAGATGCTTATCTCTTCCCACCAAATAACTTTCAAATGTAGTGTATCGGCATTCCAACATAATAAAAAGAATGCACGTTTTGGTAGAACACTGACGGCTAAATGTTACAAAAGGTAACAAATGTGGTTTATCGACTTTAGTCTGATAGGCGAAAAGGCTGATATAAAGCCTCGGACATAAATACATTGGTACATAACATACAATTTAGCTCGACAAGAACAGGTTGAAAAGTTATAAAAATCGAAATTACGTAATGGCGGTATTACAGTAAAGCCAATAGACGCACTCCAAGAGCACTGCCTGTCTCAAGCCCCGATAAAATAGAAGGCTAAAGGGTATGGTTAGAAATCCCAGCTCAAACAAGCACTAGTACAAAAACAATAACTAGGGATAAGCATTCAAACTGGATTCTTCGAGTTGGAGGGTCTTCACATACAGCAATTATGATGATTCATAATCAAAGCTGAAACCACTCAGAAATCACAAGGTTTATGCTTTCTTCTGACAATCAGCACAACTATAATCGTAGGTACACAGAATAAACAGACAATGTGGGAGATAAGGAGGGCTAGTTGGATCGCCACTCATTGCTTACAATCTGGGCAAAAAACAATTACTTGACGAGAGCCATTACTGTACTCTGGTTATCAATATGATGACCCACCACCATCACACACACACACACCACAAGTCCCACTGATTCTGTCAACAGAAGAATGGGTAGCATCTTCGATAAACTACGAAGATCTGATCAAGATATCAAGGCACGAAATGGCACTGCAACGGCATCTCTACAACTGCGGAATATCCGGAACTCCAAACAACTGTCACACAACACCAAAGCTGGAATTTCCAACACTAATGTTAAAATAACTCTACTGTATGGAACTCAAACTTGGACAACTGTCACCACCATCGACAAAAGAATACAAGCATTCATAAACAACTGTCTGTTAGAGGATACCACAAATCTACTGGACAGAGACCACCAGCGATAACCTACTCTATCATAGAACAAATCAGCTACCGGTTAAGAAGAAATTAGAAAGACATTTTACTGATGGATGAAGAGCTTCTCAGAAATCATCAAACTGAATCAAGAGGCAAGTCATAATATGGGATTCACGAGAGAAGGAAAAAAGATGCCTGTTGCTGGATGCTGGAGGTAGACGTCAAGACTGGGAATGGCACTTAGCAACAACTGAGAAGTAGAACTTGGGACAGACGTGGCTGAAATTCCCTAGCTTGCAGTTTATCTCCTGAAGGGCTAATGACATAGATAACGGCTGGATATTGAGAACATTTCAAAGAGGCAGACTAGAAAAGTATGTATGAAAGAATACAGGAATTTAAGATCGAAACGAAGGTGAAGTGGTTGTGTCTGTACCACTGTACACGATATTGAGCCATGTCATCCAGTTCCGATAACTACCACTTATTCAACGAATATCAGTTGTGATTTTCATTCGAAACTCTCTACTGCTGTTATTGTCTTTGAGAATAAATTTGACGCATCCATTTTACGATGGGTCAATCGAATCGATCACAGCAACAGAAACAATCGACTCCTTGTTTCAACAATGACTGATTAGTCTGAAAAATTAAATTCGCAACCGAATTTAAACATAGTTTATGCATATGCATTTGAACATTATCCTTAATATTCAATAATTTTAAATAACTCCTAATAACTAAAATGAGAATTATAACAATGGAGAGGATGAATCACTTACTGAAATACGTTTACTTCTTGCCCATGATCTTCCAGATGGCTTCTTGCTCATTTGATCAACGCTTGCACATGTAACTTGATCATTTATACTGCTCTCTATCATTGACTTAGGAACCTGATAATCACTTGACGGGAACGATTCGTAAGGTAGATTCTGGTCATCATTATGTTCAGCGTGAAGCGTTTTAATCATATGAAACTAACTGGAAAAGGTATCGATGTTTTATTACATTACATTCACTCTGTTAAGATTAAATAAGTTGCCATTTCAAAAATCTGAATAAATGAGCAGGAAAAATTCGGAAATCGGCATGAAATTTTAGAAGTCTAAAATCTGTAATTAAAAATACCCAGCCTATATAAAATCCAACACCTGACCTGAGATAAATCAGTCAACCGATCACCTAGATATGAGAAACAGTTTGAGTAACAATGGTCAAATAGCTGGGCAAGATTTAACTCTCATTACGCGTGAGATATATGATGGACAATTTCTTCAATTCAGTGTTTTAAGACTTTATCACAGCATCGTTGGCTGTGAGATCTATTTCGCTTCATTATTCAAAGCTAAGCATAGTTTCTTAAGAAAAGACATTAGTTTCTCAACGGTCGAAATTAATGTAATCATTTTTACGATAAATTCTACAGAATTCACTTGCAAAGATAAAAATTATGAGGATAACTGAAGAACACAATCTATAAGTGATACTAAGTCATACACGGGCACAAGCACATCGATAAGATACACTGCAAATATCAAATATAACGATTTCATTAAAGAAAGATACTAATTTCAATTGGTGGGTTTACGTTTACTGTAGAGTTGCAGAAAGTGGAGTAATAAATATCATTGGCAGTTAGTAGCTTCTTTTATGACAGCAACGAAAGATAGTAGGGGAAGTAAAAAGAGCCTTCGCTAGATTATTTACCATTTTTGACTTTTTTTTCTAGTTATTAGGGTGGATTTGCAATAATACGTTTAAGCTCTTCCATATCACACAAAATATTATAACTTACTATTAGAATAGCAACGTTACAATGTCCCAAACTAGCGAAATGATCAACTTGCAAGCGCTGCAATATCACCTTGAATGAAAACAGATCAAGCGCTTGATCATCGAGACATCTGATGACTAAAAAGTAGCTGCTACGAATTACACAAACTAATTACGTAAGCTTTACCAACTCTGAAAATGTAGCCAAATACCCACTCCATTTGACATATTCTATCGCTATTAAGGCTAAGCATATACAGATGTATTCTTATAAAATTGCTGTTTCGTCAGCCTTCTGAATCTACATTATCTAGACCTTAAGGAATCCATCATTCTCGTACGATTCATCAATTTGAAAACAATTCATCATTGTAGGCTCTCTTTAAACTTGCATCTGAAGTGATGCTGCCTTCTCATAACGAAAGGAAGGGGTAAGAAAAGGAAAATCCTAATCGTCTTAACTCTCCACCCTCATCGTTAGCTTTTAAGGTCTATTTTACTAGATTGTATTGCTTGAATAATATCTTAGAACCCTAATCTATCCGATTACTGCTAATATTTCTACTACCGATACTACTATCAGGTTGAAAATGACAGTTGCGTTTCTGTGCTGATGTGGTATGGCAACTTGAACTGATGTATGTACGCACGAAGTTCTACGTCGTAACTGACTGACCGCTAAACGTTTATGTATCAAACCATTTGAACTGTCTTCGAATTTACGCCAGATTACTAAATCCATTCATAAAAGCTGTTTGTATGACCATCAGGCTAAAAAGTTTGAGCGACCCTTTGTTTTGCGTACTACATCGGTCACTAACTCCATTAAAAATGTAGACATTACATTATTATTTTCATTTCATAACCAAGTTTAAGTTAACTTGCCGAGATATATGAATATATGGTGTAAAACAACAGAGGAACTAAAGTGCACAAAAATCTTTTTAACGCTTCAAGTCACTCTTACGGAAAGCTTTTTTAGCTCCGTATCTGACTACAAATGCAGCACTAAATGGAGAAGAATGTTGATGAGGACTGCAAAACATAAATAAATGGAAAATCATATTTCAGGTATAGTAAAAAATAAGAAATTGTTTTAATTACCGCAGAATACTTAAGGTGTCACTTGTAACAACCCGATTAGAAATGAGTGAAGCGAGTGCAATAAAATTGGTTAATCTCAATGACTAATAAATGTGACCACGATTTTATCCTACAAATCGTTGTACAAAGATGAGAAAACCAGCTTTCAGAGTAAAATCAAGTAAACAAATTTAGTAAACCACTAAAACAAAATGGTGACGCGTATAAACATAGCTGCGAACCAGCCTCATCCTGGTTACGTAGAAAATGCTACTATACCGAAGTGATCCTCCAAGATGAAGTTCTAAAACTCCTTACCCTGATGAGGTTGCCAAATGACTATTCCTTCTCAAATTTTGACACCAGACGAGGCGAACGCCATGATTTTAATCATTAGAGCAGTCATTTTAGCTCTCACCCCAGATTAAAAGACTGAACTTCTCTAAAGTAATCTTGTGGTCATATTTTTACAGAGCTCTTATTATTTCTATTGTTATTACATTACTCTGACTGAATTATTCTCATGCATCTACCGTTCTTTATCATAATTTCATATATTGCAACTAAGTTGACACCCGGAATCTGTAAGATGCCGTATGGAGATCAGTTAAATAAAAACCAATTGCCTTTATCATACAGAAGGACCAGAGGTGACTCGATCACCACTCTTAATTACCAAGTTATAAATGTGAATTTGACATGCTCTCATTTTTATTGTCTTTCAAAGCAGAGAATTTACAAGGACACTAAAAAATTCGAAGGACCAGAACAAATTATTGTCAGCCGACTGCCGACTTCTTCATGGAGTTGTTGAGTAAAAGGAACTCGCCACTCGACGTATCGAATCTCTACCTTTCGACGCATTTAAAAGGCTGGACCAGCTGAGAGATCACAATTGCTGGGACTATAGCAAACCACCCGGCCTCATGTCCTTCTCATATTAAAAATTTCCTTCTCAAGTCTAACAACCTCGTTTTCCTATTATTCGGTGTGTATACATGGTCTGGAAATATTACGTGTTTAAATAAAAAACTGGATAGAATATGATAACAATAATACACTAAATATTTATAAATGCTGTTACAGAAAAATCCAAGATCACAACCTGTCGACGCAGTAAACCAAAACATTCGACCCAGTTCTTCAAACTGAATGAAAACAATTTTAACTCTCGAGAGTTTATAATGTGAAATTGATAGCGTCATGCAGCGAGAGTGTTGGGACTCCGCCGCAGCGTCGCCGATACTTGACCCTCAGGATTTTTGGTGTGCTTACAAACTACACCAAGGTTGGCCGTCCAACATCCAATATCTATGTGACACACGTGAATAAACCGACTAACAATCCATAGATGTGTAAGTGATTTTCAAGTCTTATCTGGACGACAATCGTTAAGACCGTTTTCATTTACTTATTCCGGTAAGGTATTACAAATGAGGGCAACCATTAACGAAAAAAATGGGGCCGTACCCGAGTTCCCACTCTATATTATACAAGTAGTTTGGCTACCTCATGCTACTAAGAGCTAGAAAGCACAGAAACCGCTTTTCCTTAACCCTTTTCAGCTTTATGAGGGACGGTGATTTGACCATACATGTCTGTTGAGCCTTTCCTGTCCCTTTCTATGAAGATTGGATAAAGAATAGCTTGCTTCCATGACTGAACTGAAAATATCCGTGACTCTAGTAGGTCCCTGAACAGGTCGTACACTAGTGCACAAATGGTCCCCATTCACACTTTCCGCTTTCTGGGATAAATACTGTCACATCCTGATGACTTCACTGCAAGTAAGCAGTGGAGTCTACCTAATACTAAACCAAGAATTCAATCGATATCTTCAATGCCACCAGCTGTCATTAGAGCTTACGAATGCCTTTCGCTTTCAGTCTCCCAGCTTACCTGATCAGTAAAGTTAGCACCAAACAATTCTATTATCTGTACGTTAGTAATAGCTCCACTATCATTCATTTTGAGAGCATAGATCTTAAAGTTCACAGCTTTCAGTTCGGTCATGAATCTTTGAAAATATTTTCGGTTAGTTTGTATTTTATTTTCCAATTCCATTAGATTACCCTCCCTCTACAGTCGGCTTTTGCAGAGACGTCAGTATGATCTATGTATCAACCAAAAAAAATACATTCCGAAATGGAAACCCTAATGCGGGATCGCTGCGCTGAAGTTCAGATGACTTAACACGAGTTATGGCCTGTACCGGTCCCCTACATTATAATTAGAGCCAGTAAGTAGATGAATTGTAAGAGAATGAAACAATAATATCCCAATAATTATCGCGAGGTAGCTACTCAAAATCATGTTTGCAAGATATAAGTTCACCATTCTCTTTAAGGCCATCAGAATTTATTCGCCGGCCCTATGATTTTGGTGGCTCTCCAAGGTCCGGCTCCATACGATCGAACTGTTGTTACGCTTGTATTTAAGTTCAAAACTTTATCGTTGATTGGCAATTATTTCGGTTTTCATATGTTCTCTAACTGTAGAAATCTTTCTCTTGTTTTGTCAATACTTGTCTTCACATTTGCATCAGATCCGCTTTGCTGCTCATGTTTTAAAAGTGTATACCCCCTTTCAAAACTTCTTCATCATGTGTTATTTGGCAGTTTTTTATTGTGTTGTATGAGAAGACCCTAATCTTTGCTTTAGTATGCTAAAACCTACTATTGCTACATTTCTCCAGCATTTGTTGTCCAGTACAGGATGGTAGGGTTGAGTCATCCGCTGGTTTTAAGCCAGCTACTGTATTCTGTGCTTCCCATATGATTGATTTTGATGGAATCTGACCCCGAACTTGAGCCTCTTAGTTGTATCGTGTAGCTGTCTCCTGCAGCCTTCTCTTGAGGCTTTGTCTGATTTCACTGCTACCCCATCCAAATATTTGCATTTGTCATCTTTAAAGCTCCCCTTTGTAGGAATTACTTTGTCCTACAGATGTACAACCAGAACCGTAAACGTGATACTAGCGAGCTAAGAGTCTATGTGAAAACTAAAGTCAGAAAAAGAACAACTTGGTTTTAAACTTTATCTGTTTCTAAACGTCAAAACAATTAGATGAGTACAATAATTGAGGAAATAAAAGCTATTAGGTGAAATGAACAAACATAACGACTAATATTGCTTGTCTTATCAAAATGGACAAAATTAAGAGTCACAGCAATATAAGAGGATAAAAATGTCTTACAATTTTTGGGTCACATGCATCAGAGATAGTTTATAGACGCATCATACCACATCACGTGGTAAGCGCTTAAACCACGATTTGATTGGTTAGGTAATGACAAAACTAATACTCTTGATTTGCTGGTTGACTTCCGTATATTCGGATTGTGCCTTGGTATTCTTTGATCCTGTTCGGCTGTTAATGATTGTTGTCTTCTTTTCTTGAATCCTACCCATAATACCCAAACAGATCCATCCTATCCAACATAGAGAAAGTATAGAGGTTCGTTCCATGTGACGGTGATTCTTGTGACCCTAAACTTCGAAACATGTTGAAATAATTGCTTCTTTATTCACTTTTCCGATTGTTTTCATGGTAGTGTACTCTTTTTAAGTTGATCTTCTTAGGCTAGAAACTTGTTACTGAGAACTGTCTTAAATTCGATGGGTTTGTTAAGACCAGATGCTAGATCAGATGCTAGTCACATGGATATTTCAAACCGAAACGCTCCTTCAGTTGCGGTCGCATGAAGTACTTTTAAGCTAACATTTGGAAGTTGAGGCTTGGACTCAGTCAAGTTTGGAAAATATGCTACTAAACCTAGGAACTTTGCGGTTATAACAGGAAGAGTTTGCACCAAATCTAAAGAAATAGTGTGAAATTGTTTGTCTTTTGTGCAACATAGAGTTTCTTAGTGAGAAAATCTTGTTAGTATTACCAGGTCTAAATCTACCGAAACGAAATTGCTTGGAATCACCTCCCGAACGTTGAGATTTTACCACTGTTGCCGGGTTGAATTATGACTGGGAAACTTTCCTCTCCCATCCTGGTTTCGATCAAAATGTGATATAAAGTGCTGTGCCTATTTTCACCGAAAATTTTACTGCTTTATTATAAAACGCTAGATGTGAAGAGGTAATTCGTTTCACCTATTCTTGAGAGTCTGTTTGAACTAGACATTAAGTCGACTGAACTAGGTTGATTTGGTAGCCATATTCCAGGAATGACTACAGGACTGACAATATCGTGTGCTCCGATATGAACTGCTCAGAATCTTAGAACTTCATCGTTACTGTGTCCTGATCTGGTTTCTATAATCAATTCATGTTCAGTCGACAGTTACTGTAAGTATTTCAACACCTGCAACGAGTTCTGCCGCGGTTGGACGTTCTGACTGCTTCATTTTGTGTATGGTTTGTTGCTATTTTATTGTAATAAGTGCAAATGTATGCACGTTTTCCTGGTCATGTGATCCCAAACAATGTTTTATGTAGCCCAGAAGAAATTTTATATGCTACTATCTCAAGACTGGTTCACATCTACAGAGTTGTCGTCTAACAACATCGGAAAATGAAGTAAGAACTCAGATTGGGAATTTTCAACTATTGTATCTGAAAAAGTCTTCGAATTCTTGAAATATCCCGTAGAAACTCGATTCATTAACCCACGTCCTTAATTATTATATGGCCGTAAAGCCTGTTGGGATTAAAAATTTGGCCACAGAACTTCTGATTACCGGAGCAGCGAACACGGCATGAGGTCCTCATTTCGAACACATTACCTCTTCAGCGCTGGATATAGGATTATGGGAGATATAAAGCTAATACGAAATAAAGAACTGAATTAAAACTTTTTACATAGCTTTTTAATTTTAATAGAAAGTTCCTGGATAACTGTATGTTGTCAAAATTTATTCTCCATAATAATGATTTATTTTCAAGTAACATCATATTACTAGCGGCATGACAGTTTACAAGCAAGATCATAATATCGAAATTGCTAACATATTTTGTGCGACGTGTTAAGTTGCGTAAATATTCCACATAATACAGTGACTACTTACAGATGGCTAAAACTTTTCACATAAAATTACCAATAATGTTTCAGACTCTTGAATGTACAACACGATATTTGACGCGAGCTACGATGGTATCGTTGCGACGAACCATCGCTAGTTGAGAACTAATGCAGCGTAAATCCACGTCTGCATATAGCAAGAAACGATGAGGTAAATGTGCAAAAATCTTCTTCTCGAAAATCGTCAGATTATAAATTTACAGGCTACTAGTTAAAGTGACTAAGTTTTCGGCAAGTTATCCAGGCTGATATCTAAGGAATATAATGATGTGCTTATGTAGGCAAAAAGAGAGAAAGGGGTGACGATCAGAACAGAACGTATTCCTGTTTAAAGCTGAGTAATTACTCACCTGGTACTTTTCTGAATAAAACAGAAGTATGAAAACTCAGACATTTCTTTGTCTGTTTTAAAGCACTAACTGCACACCTGCACTTATTTGGGTTAACGAAGACTAGTCATTAGTATTACAACGAACAGGCAAATAATCTTACGAATAGAGGAAATTCAAAAGAACTAAGTTGTTAGAAATAACGTTGATCTACAGAATATAATTATGAATGTATACTGATCAAATGCTTTTGTGATACTTAACTTATTGTTATTTTTAATTAAATAATTTTTTAACCCTGTAGCTCAAGAAGTCATGGGTGAGATCTTTTTCACAATAATTATCCATATCCTAAGTGGAACCGACCAGTGCAAGGTTACAACCGTGAGTAGTAGACGTGGTTGATATGGAGCAGTAACATCAATATCATTGAATAGGTACATCCTACTATATCATAAGCAGCCATAAGCAAACATGGCGTTCGACTGACTTGAGTTTTAACCCAGTTAATCCTCAACAAGCTACATCATTATGTATTATCTTTAATTTGTGGTGGAACACTTCTACGAAGAAAACTCGATTGGTGAAACGTAAATATTCGCTATTGTACGCGTTTTGTTTAACTGTAACAAAACACTTAGTTACACGCAACGTTCCTTCAGGCACTGTTACCATCTTTCATAACTTGCTGCTCTATGTAACGCCTACTTTCTCCTTCAAATAAATCTTCGACCAAGGATTTAATTTTATAATTTGTGACGGAAAAGTAATGAATATTTAGTGGCGATCATAGTGAATCTCGACCCGGTCACCACTAAAAATTAAACAGGCACCGTTACCACTAAGATTTCGATTATGACCATGTCATTGTGCTCCTTTTGTTCGAATTCGATCGCTGTAACGACGCCAAAATAACTATTTGTTTGAACAGGAATATTACATCATCAGTTTTATTTAAAATCATAAATTACTCCATATCTAACACCACCAGCGTACAAAATGACCAGAAGTAACAAGATCATATGACTGTATAACTGCGGATAATCAACCAAAGTCCTCTCTCACCACTGAAAAGAATAATAAATACACCCATCACGAATAAGAGATAAATACCCACGCTGTAGATATTAATGAATGTATAGACCCTAAATCTCCACCAACCAAAATTTAGACAGACTGACTGATTATGATTATCAAAGTAGTGGATACACCGCTCAGCCACCAAGGGCCAGAGTTATGAATAAGTGTGGTAGTAGGAGATTTTTCACCCCACACCCTATATGTATTACCAAGGTTTTTAATCCTCGTCGGGTTCACACTAATCCAAATATATATATAACCAGAGTCATGAGCTGCACTATCAATACTATATTATAAATGGTGGTGAGCTGAATTTTTGTCAAAATTGGAGTCAAACCTGAGGTCATAGTGTTCCAAAACTCCCAGATGATTTCGATCTTTGCAAAACCATAGATACAGAACTTCACGCACGCCTAATCGCAAAGGTTGTGGAAATTGGCTTCGCTGACCCACTCGTATCATGGCTCAGAAACTACCTTGAGAATAGAAAGTTTCCTACCAAGTTAAATAGAGTGCACGCAACTGGCGAGCACCCACATCGGGAGTTTCATTGGGGACCATCTTTGGCCCACTTCTCTTCTTGATATTTATTAACGACCTGTTAGACTCAGTTAGCTCACCGGCATTGATCTAAGCAGATGATGCAAAGATCTGGAGGTCCATTAGAAGCGAAGAGGATTCGACAAGGCTTCAAAGGGTCCTTACATCTATTGAGGAATGGGCGGTGAAACACAGTTTAAATTAAACTAGCAGAAATGTCACATCATGCATATTCTGCCTCACACGACGCAAACGATCTACACCCTCAATGGAAGTCCGCTTCCTAATGTCTCCAAAGAGCTCGATCTCGGATTAATAACCACGGAAAGCCTCCACGAGTCCGAACTAGGGGACGCAGCCAATGCAAATGCGACTCTTCATTTTATGCGAAGACAACTTGGTTCTATCACCCCGGAATTATTCTTAACACTATTTAAGACGTATGAGCACCCACACCTGGAGGTTCACAACGTCATCGCACCCCCTCTGCTTAAAAGAGACACACATCTCCTGGGTCGAGTGCAGAGAAGAGCAACGAAGTGGGTGATAGTGTTGAAAAATAAGCCTTACGATGATAGACTCCAGTGCTTGGGACTATTTCCACTGAGTTATACGAGAATCAGAGGTTGTCTTATTGTGGCGTACAGCATATGAAGCGCGCCGAGTCATCCCAACGTGAGCATCTTACTGATGCATCACCACCACTCCCCTCGAGGCAGTCCTCGAAAGATTGCACATCAAAGGGCGAATACTCAGGTTCGTGCACACGTTTTTTCATAGTGAGTCGTCGCAACTTGGAATGCTCTCCCAGACGAAGTGACCACAGCCCCCTCAGTGGTCAGCTTTAACAAGAGACTTGATTAACATGTACTCACATACGGACTATCATCTCCCTCGTGGACAAGCTGTGCCTGATGAGTATCTTGAAACCTGCTAGTTGTTATCATTGCCATCTCCTCAGATCACTATTTATCTCGCCTATTATTTCTGTTTCCTCTACCGTGCTTATACTTCGGTCGTCTCTCACAACTTTCACTACCAATTAATAAACTAAATCATCTATATATTACTTAGTTCTGGAATTTTATTCATATAAGCTTTAGAATTTTATACTTATTATCCTTATTATTCTCCACGTTGCAACGAAGTGATCCCCGGTCTGGTAATGTGATGTCTGCTGGTATCCAGAAACCTTATTGCCTTGAAATAATTAAATTCATCACACTGCACACCAGACAAAATAGTAGCTAGTTCGCCTACTCTATTTTTAACGATGGAGAAACACAAGTAAACAACCAAATTGGAACAAAAACTACTAAAAGTGAGGAAAAAACAGTAAAATTTTCAAACGGACTAAAAACAGATGGTGTGAATACCTAAAATGTACTAAAATTAGAATCTATGCATGAAAAACCCTGAAAACCAAATGGTAAGCCCAGGAAAAACGAAAGTTCATTATCCACTAGCTGACATATTTTTCATGAGCTAGTATAAACCAATTGATTTCTTTGCGCTTGATTCTTTTTCTATTGCATTAAACACAAAATGAAAAAAAATCCACCAAACTTCAAGCTTATGAAAGATTCTTAAGATCAAATATAATACTCTGTTACCTAAGAAAATTGCAAGAGTTTGTGAAATGTAAATACCGTTAAGAATATACTTACTCATTAAAGGCTCGTGAAACGTAACATCCAGAGAAACTTTTATTTATCGACAATATTTTCTACTGAAAGCTTAGTAGAATGCTCGAGATTACTATATATTCCAGTTTTGCTGTACATTGAAGGTAGTGTTTTCGTCACCTCTTCCTGGGGTTAGTTGTTTAGTCGTTCTATCAGACCAAAAGCAGGCGCTCCATACATTCATTTATTGGATGTAACAGGTTCAAATTCCTGTTTCGATTACTTAGTTGTCTTGTTTTCATGCTTGAGTTATCGTTACTTGTTGTCTAGTTGCTTACTTAAGTAAGTAGATTTTGTGTGCTAGTTAGTTTCCTGGCACACCTTTTTCGATTTCTTGTCCTTTCTCACGCACGCCTGCCTATTACTCGTAGTGCTTTTATGCTAAAGGGGGACTCCTACTCTTGTTTGGCTTCTCATTATTCTCGATACTATGGTAAATGGAGTAAAAAATTCTACGTAAAATGCATTAGAACATCCTTCTTTAATTTTCGCAGTAGTTAGTCAAAGTATGGTCAGTAGCATATTTTCATAAACCTACTGTATCACCTATCCCACCTCATATATTTATCTAGTTTTGGATAAAATTAATATAGTTCGTATCTGGGATTATATGAATATTTGCTATCTCAGTCAAATTCAGTAACTAATTTTGGAACTTCGGTATCCTAGTCGGGTTTCAACCACCCAATGGCGACTAAAGAAAATCTAGCAAAATCTAATTCTATAATACATGCGAGCACTTCCTAGTAGTCCGTACAATGCTCCTATGTTGAAGCCTGTTACAATTTCAGGCAAATATCGCTGTTGCCTTAAAGTTCGAACTATATTTAGTCACGATTTGTGGGGTGATACTACAGCCTTTTAGCTACCTCATACGTGTGTATTTCAGAGGCCCCCTAAAATCAAAATATTGACATTATTCAGATACCTATGTCACCCTAGTACTAAAGTAACATCAATATCGTCATTATTGAGGACCACTTTTATTCATTCACTATCCTATTTTAATTGGAATGGATTAATTTCAGCTTTTTTGAAGCAAACGTTGACTTGCCTTTTGATACAGTTTGATGATTTCTGAGAAGCTCTTCATCCATCAGTAAAATGTTTTTCTAATTTTTTCTTAACCAGTAGCTGATTTGTTCTATGATAGAGTAGGTTATCGCTGGTGGTCTCTGTCCAGTAGATTTGTGGTATCCTCTAATAGACAGTTGTTTATGAATGCTTGTATTCTGACTGTGGTGTTTGGTTCTCTAAACTGAATGTTTTGGTTGTGGAGCTTTCATTGTTCGCCTGAACAACATCAGCACAAACTTCAGACAGAAGTGAAGCATTCGAATTTCTCCTGTAGCTTGTTCTGCTAACCTCGATCTTGATTGGTTGCTGTTGTCGTTAAACCTGTCGTTGTTTGCATCTTTGTTTTGAATGTAGAATATATTAGACCACCACTTATGTAGGTTAAGTTCTTCAGAAAACTATATACTACACATATTGATTGATATTGTGCATCATATTATTTTGGTTGGGAAAGCAACTAAATATATCCATTTTGGTTTATGCATTTTCCTTCATATCATTTTGGCAACACTTATTCTTTCAAAACAGTGGTTCCCTTTGATAAATTTGAATAGAGAAATAAGAAGACATATTTTGTGAGATAGTACCATTTCGTGCTTTCTCGTCAGTCACATACAAGCAACATGTTATTTGTGTAAATACAGTTTTGAAGATAAGGTCAAAATTTCTTATCTTCAAAACTGTATTTACACAAATAACATGTTGCTTGTATGTGACTGACGAGAAAGCACGAAATGGTACTACCTCACAAAACACTTATTCTTATTAAAAATAAGATTTAATAATCTGAAATGATGCACAAAGAGTGCACTAAATTCTTACAATTAACTATTCACAACTTGTAACATCATTCTAACTGTTGAACGATCTAATTTTGACTCAATAGACTACAAGCTTTATCAGATACAACTAATTCGACTTAGTATGAACAACACTCGATTTTCGACCCAATTGTTCTGAAGTCAAACCTGCTCTAATCCACTTTGCGTTAAATATCATTACGTAGTACCATCGATCCTCGCCCGAGCACAGCCTCAATCATGCTCTTAGAAAACTAGTTACTTTGATTTGATCATAACTCATACAAAACTTTTGTTCTGTATATGGTTTTTGAGTTGCAGTAATTTCCTCCCGAACATGTTTATTGATACATACTTCAACAATACTTTTCATCAAACCATAGTTTTATCTATTACTTAGAGTAGCTTACTATTGTTTTTAGTTTCAGCACTAAAACATGCCACTTCCTAAACATACAGTTCAGCCAGTCAAACTCAGTCAGGTAGTCGTCCCGGATGGCGTTGACAATGAGTTGGAATTTGTGGTTAATTCCACAATATGCAATGTCATGCGACAAATAGCGTCAGTTAGCCGTTTAGCTAATACTATGTTCGAAGAACTCACTACCGATTTATCTCGACTAGTTGAGCGAACTGTTCGAATACAAAATCGTCTTGGAAAACTTCATGAAGATATGCAAATAGCGCGCAACGGAGACGAAGATCTTACTGCTGGAGTACACGAGGTTGAAATCCCGGTGTTCACTAGCAAAAAGCCAACCGACAGTCAAGTAAGTTGTCTTAGGTTTTTCATTTTAATTAGGTGTTAAATCAAAATACCATACCCCCTTCAATGCGGTCACTCTATGATCAAGCAGAACCAGCTCCAGCGCTCCAACAAATGGATGAACTCAGAGATGATAAGAAAACCAGCATGAGATTGTATTCAGATCCCAGCTTTTTCTTCGATTTGTGGAGTCAAGAAATGTTGCAGGATCACAAACACAAAAAAGCTGCTAAGAAAAAGGTAACTTCTGTTGACTCTAACCAGTTATTTTATTCGTTTCTTTCTGCAAAATATATATGTAGCTTCGTTCTTCTTTGTATATCTGGATATTCTAGGCACTCATAGATTGTTTCCTTTAAATTAACAGTAGTTATTACCATCAACTTCACGCCTATTCTTTTGTGCATAGCAGAAAGACAGAAAGCGAGAAAGTCTATTTGGCCACCAAATAGTCAGTCGGTCAGCCGCAACGTAGAACTTCGTACGTACGTACACCAGTTCAAATTCCATACCACATTAATACAGAGAGATCGAATAGTTACTTCAAATCCCATAATAGTATAGGTGTTACAAGTATTAGCCGTAATGGGGATCACGGTTCGAAGAGTCAGTCAGTCAGTCAGTCAGATGCAACGTAGAACTTTGTACATAAGTACATCAGTTCATGTTGCCATACCACATCAGCACAGAGAAGTAATCGTCAATTCAAATCCAATAGTAGAAGAGGTAGTAAGGGAATTAGAAATAATCGGAGAGGTTAGGATTAGAAGATACTACTCAAGAGGTATGATTCAGTGAGAAAAGTTTAGAGAGTCGAAACTAGAGGTGTTGAAGAATCCAGAAGATTAGCATTTGAGAGAACACAGAGAATAAATGCACTGGCGCCATTGCGAACGATTTTGAGCCATGTCATTCAAGGTCTCTAACCATCGATTATTATCATCTCGCGGACCCCAACCAGGTAGTCGACAATTACCGACATGGCTCAGTCCACTAGTCAATGACTTCATGGATTTCTGCCATGTTTTGGTTTGGCCGCCCCTAACTTTCTTCCAAACTACTCCTACACTACAAAACAAAGCTCTTCGAGGCAGTCGATGGTTGGGCATACGCAACACGTGTCCCAACCACCTCAACTGATGAAGTTTCAATACTTCATCGATTGATCTTCCATTCTTACCTAGCACCCGATTCCTAATAACAGCGTTGCTCACTCGGTTGTCCCACGATATACGAGCAATGCTTCGAAGACACCTATGATCGAAAACCAGTAACCTACGAATATCCTCTACTCTCACTGGCCATGTTTCACAGCCATAAAGTAAGACGGAGCGAACTACTGCGCAGTACACTCGTCCTTTAGTCAGCAAACGGATATCTCGCCTACGCCATAAGTGACGCAGGTTGGCAAAAGCCAATCGAGCCTTCTGTATCCGAGCTGAGATTTCGTCAGTCACCAGGCCATCGGCACTGATGAGACTCCCAAGATAAGTGGAGCGGTCTACACGTTCAACCACTTCACTCCCTATCACTAGTTCAGGTGCCAATGCAACCCAGTCTTGAAGCAACATTTTGCATTTCGAGGGGCAAAACCGCATCCCGAACATGCTTGCATTGTTGCTTAGGGTAGTCAGAAGACTCTGCATTTTGTCATCGTCTTCACCAAGTAGGACAATGTCATCGGCATATTCTAAGTCAATAAGCGAGCCACCTGAAAGAAGGTCTACTCCTGAAAATTCAGACGAGGATAATGTTATGTCTAGGAGCATGTCTATGATAAAATTAAACAAGAATGGAGAAAGTGGACATCCCTGACGGACACCACTTGATGTAGAGAATTCCGGTGACAGTTCGCCATAAGCCCTCACCCGACCAGTGGTGTTCGAGTAAAGAGCTTGTATAAGGTTAATGTACTTCTGTGGTACACCTTTCAATGACAGACACTGCCACAGAACCTCACGATCAACAGAGTCAAATGCCGCCTTAAGGTCTAGGAAAACAACTATTGTAGGACGCCTAAATGTGTGTCTATGTTCCAGGACCTGTCGTAGTGTGAAGACGTGGTCTATACAGCCACGTCCAGGTCGAAAACCAGCCTGGTTTTCTCGAGTCTGCTCTTCACGAGCTTTCGTTAAGCGTCGAAGTATTATTGAGGCTAATATTTTAGATACTATATTAGTTAGACTTATTCCTCTGTGATTGTCACAAGAAGACTTTTGTCCTTTCTTATAGATTGGGACAATCAGTGATTGAGACCAGTCGGATGGGATTACGTCCAGTTCCCAGATTTTACCTAAGATCTCAGTCAATCTAGCTGCTAAAACTGGACCACCATCCCTGAATATCTCAGGGGTCAGTCTATCAGGACCTGCAGCTCGTCCTCGTTTCAGATTTCCTAACGCTTTCTCAACGTCATAAAGACTAGGGGGACTTAGGTCGATTTGCCATTCAGGATGACTGGAGATCGTGGGTAACTGAAGAGTGGCTCGTGGCCAGTTGAACTGATCCCTAAAGTGTTCTGCCCATCGATCCAGCCTCCTGGATTGAGAATGGATAATAAGACCATCCTTTTCCGAGATAGTCTCACTCACATTCGGGTTCTTAATACCGGTTTCTTTGATAAGGCGGAAAAGTTGTCTAGTGTTGACTATCGCCGCTGCCTTTTCCATCGCTTTTGCTTTCGCCACCCACCACTGTTCGCGGTCGTTACGCAGACTTTTTATAAGTCTGCACCTAAGCTGACTACGCTCTTCATCATGCTCAGAGTCAGGTGGGATGCGTTTTCGAGCATCCATCAGTTCGGTGGATGCGACTGAAATCCACGGCTTCATCCTAGCCTCATGGTTTACCTTCCTCGCAGATATCACTGCTGTTTCCACAGCCTTTTTGATATCATACCAACCTGCCTCCGGATGGGAATCGCTTAAATGGTCACCTAACTGTCTTTCTAGTTGCTCCTGAAATATTTTCTTGGTTTGATTATCATTAAGTAAAACCCCAAGAGGCTTTCTTACGGTGTCTTTCCTACGTCCAGTAAGCCTTAAACAGATACGAGCTCGCACTAGAGCATGATCTGAATCCAAACATGTGCTCCAGAACGAGCGACAGTCTTCTATCGAACCCCTTCATCGGCGGCTGATGGCGATGTGATCTAGTTGAGTCCAACGTTGAGACGACTTTGGAGGTCGCCAGGTCAACAGATGCTTTTCCTTATGCCTAAAGTTGGTGTTCGCTAAGAATAGGCGGTTATCTGAGCACAGTTGCAACAGACGGTCATCATTGTCTGTTCTCTCAGTCGCTACACCATAACATCCACCAAGATGTCTTTCCTTTTCACCTAGTCTACCTACTTGATCATTAAAGTCACCAGCCATTATTACTATGTCAGAGCGCTTAGCTTTTTGGAGGAGGTCCGAAAGCTTTCTGTAAAACTCATCTTTAACCTCGTCTGCACTGCAGTCAGTGGGGGCATAGGCAGATATGACGAAGAGGCAACGGCGAGTGTCCCTATCCTTACGAGTCCTTACTGTCCCGTTTAGTCGGACAGCGCACAAACGACTATCTACAGGGATCCAGTCTAGGAGAGATAATTCTGCCCTAGGACTCAACGCTATGCCTACACCAGCAAGACCCCTGGAAGCAGCATCAGGGCTACCGGATACCCGAAGAGTAAATCGAGCTGCTTCTTCGTTTTGACAAGGTGGAATCAGGTTAATGACTTTACTAGGATCCTGTATGCGCGTTTCCGAGACAGCATACATCGATGGCACGAGTTTCTAAAGTCCTAGCTAATGATGCCTGTTGCCCTATTTGACACAATGTCCGTACATTAAAAGCTCCAATATGTAGTCTAGATCGGGGTTTCAAGAGACCAGGAACGACGTTTCGTGATCTCGCTTCGTCTGCATTAGCGGTGCAGTGAGAAAAGGGAGTGTGAGTAGAGTTAGTTGTAGAGATAAAAGAGACATTAGGGGGTGTAGGAAGGATTTGATTTTGACCAATTTGGTCTCGCGTGCTGTTATGGGTATAAGGGCGGTTGTCACTTCCCGGCTGCCCACACCGTTGAAGGTTGTTTCTTGAGGAACCTGAAAAGGAAGATGGATTAGTGTTGGTGCGTGACCGCAGAGCCCAAGGGACAACTGCTTGAGGCCGGTCACGCACGGCCTTTTTATGAAAGGTATTTTGAGAATTAGCTCCGTTCTTAAAGGCCCTTAGTGGGCACCCTTACCCAAGGAGACGGAAATCCGTGAGTTAGGGGGAGTGTGACATTTTTAGGGCCGACCTTTTCTAACCCTTCCTTCCTTGTGAGAAGGCAGCATCGCTGCAGATGCTGGTTGTCCGAGAGAAACACCTTACTGCTGTCACACCCCTCTGAAGTCAGCAGTACGACTTCGCCCTCAGACCTTGGGTAGCTGCTTTTAGTCTCATCGTTCTCCAATCGACCAGCCTGGCATGGTAGGACCTGCAGGAACATATGTTCCAGCCAGTATAGCTCGATTGGGTCATCACGATAGGCAAGCCCGACCACCACGTCAAGGTAGCAGCTTCGGTCGGGACGGTTCGAAGATATTATTGAAGAAGTATAATCCAGTGAAATAAACCTGAAACGAGAAAGATTAATGTGAAGAGGAATTCTGAAGACTAGAATTTAAGAAAAGACAGGAAATGTATGCACCTGCGTCATTGCAAACGATTTTTAGCTATGTCATTTAAGGTCTAACGACCGGTTACTATTGACTCGCGGACGCTAATCAGGTAGTCTACACCTACAACCATGACTTAGTCCACTTGTTAGTGACTTCACAGATCTGTGCCAAGTTTATTTTGACCGCCCCTAGCTTTCCTCCAGCCTGCCCTCACATCAAACAACATGGCTCACGGAGGTAGTCGGTTGTTAGGCATACGTAACATGTCCCAACCACCTCAACTGATACGGGTTCACTACTTCTTAAATCGATTCTACATCCTTATTTACTACCCTTTCCCTAATTCAAAATTGCTTAATCGATGGTTCCAGGATATATGAGCAATGCTTCGAAGACACATATGATCGAAAACTATTAACCTACGAATATCCGCGACGGCGATTTCCCCTATCTTTACGAGTCCTTACTATCATGTTTAGTCGGACAGCCTATTAGCTACTGCCCACTGGGATCTAGTCTGAGAGAGCTAGTTCTACCCTAGGACTCAATGCAATACATAAACGTGCGGGGCCACGTGAAGCAGAAGCGCGGCTTCCAGACAAACTAAGCGCAAATTGCGATTGTTCCTTTTCTTTACAAGGTAAAGTCAGATTCGCGACGGAGACGCAGCACACATCGATCTCATGGGATTCCAGAGTCCTAGCTAAGGAAGTTTGTTATCCTATTTGACACAATGTTCAAACGTTGGAAACTCCAACATGTAGTTTTAAACGAGCTTTCAGGAGACGAGGAATAACGTTTCGTGACCTCGAAACGTTAGCATCGGCAGCTCGAGGTGACAAAGGAACGTGAGAAGGGTTGGTCGTGGAGATAAGAGAGTTATTAGGAGGTGTAGAAAGTATTTGATAATGACCGGCTTGATCCCGTGTGCTGTTACGAGTATGAGGGCGGTTGTCACTTCGTTACTGCCCAAGCCGTGGAAGGGTACTTCTTGAGGAATCTGAAAAAGAAACTGTATTAGTGTTGATCTTAGAGACGTGGGTGTGACTGCAAAGCCCAAAGGAAAACTGCCATTCATGCACGACGTTTTTATGGGATGTTTTGTAAGTGTTTACTCTGCGCTTCAAAAGACCCTATTTTCAGAAACAAGTAAAGTGAGGTGTGGCATTTTTTACGGTCTTCTTTTTACTATTCCCTTTCTTGTGAGAAAGCAGCATCGCTGCAGATGCTGGTGTTCCGAGGAAAACATCTTACTGTTGTCACACCTCTACAGATGGTAGACGTTTTCGTCCTCAGGCGTTTTTAGTCTTATCCTTCTCCAACCGACCTGTCTGGCGTGGTAGGACCTGAAGAAACATGTCTTCTAACCATTGTAGCTTGGTTGGGTCATCACGATAGACAAGTTTGACCACCAGGTCAAGGTAGCAGCTACCGTCGGGGTCGCTAAATAACACATACTATTCATGTTTTTAAGTGTGTAGTCTGTTATGTGATAATATAGCTTATTCAGTTACGCATCAACCAATCTCAGTTATTGAATAACCTAGTGACTTTCGAAAAGTGTTTTTGGGAACTGTCAAAACAAATTTCAGAGTGATGTAGCCAAATTTTGAATCGATCTTGAATTCTCTCATTTTATTATGTTTTAAAATCTTACAACTTCGCTGTACATCCTCTCTACCACTATGGGATTTGAACTGACAGTTGCGTCTCTGTGCTGATGCGGTATGGCAACCTGAACTTATGTACCTACGTAAGAAGTTCTACGTTGTAACTGACTGACTGACTTCTTTACATCTAGATTTCGTGATCAAGTTTTGTTTTGGTACTCAGCTTTCTGTTTATTTTTTTGGTTGTTAAGTTCTTCTTTAGTTGTATTCCCTATACATTGTTGATTGTCTTTGTCTTCAGACGGTACGAATCGATTTATATCTTTTTATCTCACATTTTTTTAACATAACATTTATGTCATAAAGTCGTGTCTCTACAGCCACTGCCTTGCCATAGTTCGAGTCCTGTCCCGTTTTAATGTCATCAAAGTTTTCAGGATCGATCAAAAGTATATTCTTTCCTACTCATTAATATACAACTATTTTTAATCGTAAAAAATAGTGGAGTTCCTTTGGTGTTAGGGAAACAGTTTTGAGAGTGATAATCCCGAATTCTTCGACTCGCTCTTTTTATTATTACCCTTTAAAACGTATGTTCCCATTTTCAAAAAACGATGTCTTACGATATAATGATTCAGTCTAATTCACAAGCCTGATTTCGTGTTGAATTTCTTTTCCTTCATATTTCTTCGTATATTTATGACTAAATTAAAATTGAAGATTACGAAAAACTAAAGCCATACGTGAATACAGTTTTCTTATTTTAGTAATATTTTAAATATCTGGATATCCTAATCTTTAAAGCTTGTGACCTATTTTGAGTAAAATATGTATTTTAGAGACCAAAAGTAAAGGGGAAATCTGCTCCACTTAAAAGTGCATCTAATCAAGGAGCTCAAAAAACTCAGCTGATCATTCAGCAGCCAGGAGTTGGTGGTCATAATCTTCCTGCACCGTTATTTGAGCAAAACGGCTCCGTTAATATCAGTACTCATATGGATAGAAATGTCAGTATTGTCAACGGCAAACCAAACCAACAGCAGTTTCTGAATAGTAGTGATTTCGGAAATACTCTACCACCTCCACCACCACCACCAAGTGCTCTTCATTCGTTAAATCAAGGTGATAATGCGAAGGATATTCAACCTGTATCTCATCAAAAGAGTGATTATCACCCAATTAGACATGACCTTGAGGATGCCGGTCAGTTTTCTTCAGTTACCAACCATAGTTATGCTAACCACGACCCTTCATCAGCTCATCAGATGGCTCTTCCTGACCCGCCCACACTTCCTACACAGATGGCATCTCATATTTTACCACCACCAGTTCCAGCGTTCTTGAGTGACGAGGAGTTAACAGTCTCAGGTTAGTATAAATCGCTTGATATGTGTGTTATCATTGACAATCTGATGCACTGTTTGAATTTAGCGTGGTGAAGTTTCAATTTCGTATATTTAATGCTGGATTTTGACAGTTGAATTCGTTTATTCTCTAGATTCTCGACCTGGTATCATTCAACACTTGATTACACGGTCGCGTTTCTTAAACTATTATGTTTACTTCACCGCTGTAACAGATACTATTATTCACTTCCTTTGCTTTTGATTGTGTTTATTTCCTTATCTCAGACGGCAAACTAAAAAACAAGTTTAGTAAGTCATGTTACAAAATGGATTGATTTCGTATTCTTTGTAATCAGTGTTTCTGTTGGCTCTGGTTTTCATTCTGAAGAGCAACAATTCCCAAGTGTCGAAAACATTGCACATCAAAACTCACTGAATAGGTATCGGCATCAGTTAGCAAGGTCAGTCAATCAGCTGCAACGTAGAACTTGGTACGTATATACATCAGTTCAAGTTGCCAAACCATATTAGTACAGAAAGATAGAATTGTCAGCGCCATCGGGGCTGATGAGACTCGAGTTAAGTGAAACAGTGGACACGCTCAACTCCTTCACTCCCGACCATAGCTGCTAACTTGCCCTGGTGGTCGTGCTTGCCTATAGTGATGACCCAATCGAGCTATATTGGCTGGAACATACGTTCCTGTAGGTCCTACCATGTCAGGCAGGTCGATTGGAGAACGATGAGACTAAAAACGGCTACTCAAGGTCTGAAGGAGAAGTCGCACTGCTGACTAATGTAGATGGATGTCACGGCAGTAAGGTGTTTCCCTCGGACAACCAGCATCTGCAGCAATGCTGCCTTCTCACAAGGATGGAAGGGTTAGAAAAGGTCGACCCTGAAAATGTCACACCTCACCTTACCTCACGGATTTCCGTCTCCGGCGGTAAGGCCTCTTAAAGAGAACAGCTTAATAACTTCCCATCAAAAGGCTGTGCGTGACCGGCCTGAGTCAGTCGTCCTTTGGGATCTGCGAGCACTCTCCCAGGTTTCTAAGACCAACACTAATCTATCTTCCTTTTCAGGTTCTTCAAGAAACACCCACGGTGTGGGAAGCCGGGAAGTAACAACCGCTTTCATACTCGTGACAGCACACGAGATCAAATCGGTCACTATCAAATCCTTCCTACACCCCCTATCATCTCTCTTATCTCCACGTCTCACCCTTCTCACATCCCTTTAACAACCTGTACTGCTAATGCAAATGATTCGAGTTCACGAAACATTATTCCTGGTCTCCTGAAACCTCGTTCAAAACTACATGTTGGAGTTTTTAATGTCCGAACATTATGTCAAATAGGACAACAGGCCCTATTAGCTGGGACTTGCACCACCGATGTATGCTGTGTCTCCGAAGCGCGCATACAGGATCCGAGTAGCGTCATTCATTTGACCTCACCATGTCGAAAGAAAGAACCAGCCAGATTTACTCTTCAGGTATCTGGAAGCCTTGCTGCTGCTTTCCATGGCCTCGCTGGTGTATGTATAGCATTGAATTCTAGGGCAGAACTAGCTCTCTCAGACTAGATCACAGTGGATAGTCGCTTGTGCGCTGTCGGACTAAACAGGACCCTAAGGACTGGTAGAGATAGGGACACTCGCCATCGCCTCTTCCTTTTCTCTGCCTACGCTCCCGCTGACATCAGCTCGGATGAGATAAAAGATGAGTGACATTTCTGACATATTTTGAAAAGTTAAGCACACTGATTTAGTAATAACGGCTCGTGAATAGCAGACTAGAGGAAACCAGGCTGGTTTTCGACCTAGACGTGGCTGTGTAGACCAAATATTCACACTACATCAGGTCCTAGAACAAAGACACTCGTTCCAACACCCCACATTAGTAGTATTTCTCGACCCTAAAGCAACATTTAACCCTGCTGATCGTGAGTTTCTGTGACAATGTCTGTCAATAAAAGGCGTACCAAAGAAGTGCATTAATCTTATACAAGCTCTCCACTCGAACACCACTGGTCAAGTCAGAGCTTATGGTGAACTGTCATCAGAATTGACTACTTCAACTGGTGTTGGTCAGGGGTGTCCACTTTTTACATTCATATTCAACTTTGTTATTGACATGCCTTTAGACATTACACTTTCATCGTCTGACTTTTCAGGAATTGACCTCCCACCATGAGACTCGCTTGTTGACTTAGAATATAACGATAACATGGTTCTGTTTGGTGAAGACGCTGACAAAATGAAGTCTTCTAACCACCCTAAGCAACAATGCAAGCATGTTCGGAATGCGGTTCTCCTAGTCCAAACGCAAAATGATACTTCAGGATTGGCCAGAATAGGCACCTGGACTTGTGACAGGGAGTGAAGTAATTGGGCGTGTGGACTGCTTCACTTAACAAAGGGGTCCCATCGGCCCCGATGACCTGGTGTCTGACGAAATCTCGTCACAGATACAGAAGCCTAGATTTACTTTTACCAACTTGCGTCACTTATGGTATTGGCGAGATATGCGTGTGCTGACCAAATACGAGTGTACTGTGCAGCAGTTCGCTCCGTCCTACTCCATGGCTGTGAACCATGGCTAGCGAGAGGAGATATTCCAGGTGTCTTCGAAGCATTGCTTGTATATCCTGGTACCATGGAGTAAACAATGTTGTTATTAGAAAACGAGTACTAGGTAACGATGGCAGACCAGTAAATGAAGTAGTGAAACTTCATCAGTTTGGGCGGTTGTGACATGTGTTACGAATGCCCGACCATCGACTACCTCGACGAGCTGTTTTGTGGTGTTGAAGTCGGTTGGTAAAAAGCTAGGGTGGCCAAACCAAAACATGGCACAAATCCATGAAGTCACTGAAAGGTGGGCGGAGTCATGTTGGTGGATGTAGACTACCTAGTTGGGGTCCGCGAGATGATAGTAATTGATGGTTAGTGACGCTGGATGACAACTCAAAACTGTCTGCAGTGGTGCTGGTGCCTACATTCCTTGTCACTGGATCATTTGCCTTCGTTCTCGTGATAGTTTCAAGCATACCAGCTGACGAACATAACAGTGACATGGCTCAGAATCGTTTGCAATGGCACAGCTGCATCCATTCTTTGTGTCCTCTCAAATCCTGATCCTCTGAACGCTTCATCACCTTTATCGTTCTCTTTTTAAGTTTATTTCACTAGATTTTATTTCTTGAATAATATCTTCCCGACCGTAGCTGCTACCTTGACGTGGTCGGTTGTGATGACCCAGCCGAGCTATACTGGCTGGAACATATGTTCCTGAAGGTTCTACCATGCCAGGCTGGTCGATTGGAGAACGATGAGACTAAAAGCAGCTACCCAAGGTCTGAGGGCGAAGTCGTACTGCTGACTTCAGAGGGGTGTGACAGTAGTAAGGTGTTTCCCTCGGACAACCAGCATCTGCAGCAATGCTGCCTTCTCACAAGGAAGGAAGGGTTAGAAAAGGTCGACCCTGAAAATGTCACATCTCACCTTACCTCACGGATTTCCGTCTCCTTGGGTAAGGGTGCCCACTAAGGGCTTTCAAGAACGGAGCTAATTCTCAAAATACCTTTCATAAAGAGGCCGTGCGTGACCGGCCTCAAGCAATTGTCCCTTGGACTCTGCGGTCACGCTCCCAGGTCTCTAAGAGCAACGCTAATCTATCTTCCTTTTCAGGTTCCTCAAGAAACAACCTTCCACGGTGTGGGCAGCCGGGAAGTGACAACCGCCCTTATACCCATAACAGCACGCGAGACCAAATTGGTCAGAATCAAATCCTTCCTACACCCCCTAATACCTCTCTTATTTCCACGACTAACTCTTCTCACACTGCACAGCTAATGCAAACGATGCGAGTTCACGAAACGTCATTTCTGGTCTCCTGAAACCCCTCTCTAGACTACATGTCGGAGCTTTTAATGTACGGACATTGTGTCAAATACGGCAACAGGCTTCATTAGCTAGAACATTAGAATCTCGCTCAATTGATGTATGATGCGTTTCGGAAACGCGCATACAGGATCCTAGTAAAGTCATTAATCTGATTTCACCTTGCCAAAACAAAGAAGCAGCCCGATTTACTCTTCGTGTATCCGGTAGCCCTGATGCTGCTTCCAGGGGTCTGGCTGGTGTAGGTATAGCATTGAGTCTTAAGGCAGAACTAGCTCTCCTAGACTGGATCCCTGTAGATAGTCGTTTGTGCGCTGTCCGACTGAACGGGACAGTAAGGACTCGGAAAGATAGGGACACTCGTCGTTGCCTCTTCGTCGTATCTGTCTATGCCCCACTGACTGCAGTTTAGACGAGGTGAAAGATGAGTTTTACAGAAAGCTTTCGGACCTCCTCCAAAACGTTAGGCGCTCTGATGTAATAATAATGGCTGGTGACTTTAATGCTCAAGTAAGTGAAAACGAAAGACACCTAGGTGGATGCTATGGTGTTCCGGCTCAGAGAACAGACAATGGCGACCGTCTGTTGCAAGTATGCACAGATAACCGCCTATTCTTAGCAAACACTAACTGTAGGCATAAGGAAAAGCACCTCTTGACCTGGCGACCCCCGAAGTCGTCTCAACTAGATCACATCGCCATCAGCCACCGATGGAGAGGTTCGATAGAGGACTGTCGCTCGTTGTGGGGCACATTTCTAGATTCAGATCATGCACTAGTGCGAGCGCGTATTTGTTTGAGGCTTACTGGACGTACGAAAGACACCGTAAGAAAGCCTCTTTGTGTTTTACCTAATGATAATAGGGCGAAGAATATATTTCAGGAACAACTAGAAAGACAGTTAGGTGACCATTTAAGCGATTCCCATCCGGAGGCAGGTTGGAATGATATCAAAAAGGCTGTGGAAACAGCAGTGATATCTGCCAGTAAGGTAAACCGTAAGGTTAGGGAGAAGTCGTGGATTTCAGTAACATCTACTGAACTGATGGATGCTCGAAAGCGCAGGCGAGATATCCGTTTGCTAACCAAAGGACGAGTGTACTATGCAGCAGTTCGCTCCGTCCTACTGTATGGATGCGAAACATGGCCGTCAAGAGTAGAAGATATTCGTAGGTTACTAGTCTTCGATCATAGGTGTCTCCGAAGCATTGCTCTCGTATCATGGGACAACCGAGTAAGCAATGCTGTCGTTAGGAAACGAGTTCTAGGTAGGGATTGCAAATCAATAGATGAAGTAGTGGAACTTCATCAGTTGAGGTGGTTTGGACATGTGTTACGTATGGCTAACAACCGACTGCCGAGACGAGCTATTTTTTCGGTGTAGGAGTAGGTTGGAAGAAAGCTAGGGTCGGCCAAACTAAAACATGGCATAAATCCATGAAGTCACTGACAAGTGGACTGAGTCATGTTGGTAGATGTAGGCTACCTGGTTTGGGTCCGCGAGACGATAGTCACCGATGGTTAGAGACCTTAAACGACATGGCTCAGAATCGTTTGCGATGGTGCAGGTGCATCCACTCTTTGTGTTCTATGAAATTTTAAGCTTCTGCATTCCTCATAATCTCTACCTTTCTCCTTCTAAATTTATTTTACTGAATTATACTTCTTGAATCATATCTTCGCTCTCTAGTCTTCTCCATTACTGCTAATACTTCTATTATTACTATCACTGTTGGATTTGAACTGAAAGCTGCGTCTCTGTGCTGATGTGGCATGGCAACCTGAACTGATGTACTTACATACGAAGTTCTGTGTTGTATCTGTCTGTCTGAATAATATCTTAGAACCCTAATCTCTCCAATTACTGCTAATATTTCTACTACATATACTTCTATCGAATTAGAACTGACAGGTACATCTCTGTGCTAATTGGTATGCCAATCTGAACTGATGTGCTTACGTGCGAATTTCTCCGTTGTCACTGACTGACTGACTACTTCACTCCCTGTCACAAGTCCAGGTGCCTATTCTGGCCAATCCTGAAGTATCATTTTGCGTTTGGACTAGGAGAACCGCATTCCGAACATGCTTGCATTGTTGCTTAGGGTGGTTAGAAGACTTCATTTTGTCAGTGTCTTCACCAAACAGAACCATGTTATCGTTATATTCTAAGTCAACAAGCGAGTCTCATGGTGGGAGGTCAATTCCTGAAAAGTCAGACGATGAAAGTGTAATGTCTAAAGGCATGTCAATAACAAAGTTGAATATGAATGTAAAAAGTGGACACCCCTGACCAACACCAGTTGAAGTAGTCAATTCTGATGACAGTTCACCATAAGCTCTGACTTGACCAGTGGTGTTCGAGTGGAGAGCTTGTATAAGATTAATGCACTTCTTTGGTACGCCTTTTATTGACAGACATTGTCACAGAAACTCACGATCAACAGATTCAAATACCTCAAGGTTTCGAAAAGGAGCTGCTTAAACCTCATTGTGTATTATTTCTCGAGAAGATATCATAGTAATCACTAATTATTTTGAACACCATTTTTTAGGTCTGTATAGAAATTTTCCTTCATCTTTATGTCTATTAATCTGAACGATCTCATCTTTGATGTTCAGTTAGTTTGTGACTTGCATTTTAATATGTTTTGCTTCAGCTTGTCATGTTGATATGCCCTCGTGAATTCTGTTCGTATTCGTTTGCAGATATTTTATAAGTATTAGATAAATATTTAGTCTTGCGCTATGTTTTTTAGATATGTTGGGTATTTCTGACTTTTATTTAACTTTCTAGGCATAAACAGAAATCCACTTCTGAATGATAGTGCTGTCAATCAACACCCCTCGGCACAAGATGGAAATAATAGGATATGTTCACCCATACAAATGAATGATGACAAAAAGTCTCAGTGCATTAATTCTGTAGGTATGGAATCAGTAAGTTTCTCGGCTTTTTGTAGCTATTTCTTCTATTAACGTAAAGCTAACTAAGATGCCGTAATCATATCTTGCCTTTATATGTGTATACATTATATAATACCTTCTCTACAACGTAGAACTTCGTACGTACGTACACCAGTTCAAATTCCATACCACATTAATACAGAGAGATCGAATAGTTACTTCAAATCCCATAATAGTATAGGTGTTACAAGTATTAGCCGTAATGGGGATCACGGTTCGAAGATATTATTGAAGAAGTATAATCCAGTGAAATAAACCTGAAACGAGAAAGATTAATGTGAAGAGGAATTCTGAAGACTAGAATTTAAGAAAAGACAGGAAATGTATGCACCTGCGTCATTGCAAACGATTTTTAGCTATGTCATTTAAGGTCTAACGACCGGTTACTATTGACTCGCGGACGCTAATCAGGTAGTCTACACCTACAACCATGACTTAGTCCACTTGTTAGTGACTTCACAGATCTGTGCCAAGTTTATTTTGACCGCCCCTAGCTTTCCTCCAGCCTGCCCTTACATCAAACAACATGGCTCACGGAGGTAGTCGGTTGTTAGGCATACGTAACATGTCCCAACCACCTCAACTGATACGGGTTCACTACTTCTTAAATCGATTCTACATCCTTATTTACTACCCTTTCCCTAATTCAAAATTGCTTAATCGATGGTTCCAGGATATATGAGCAATGCTTCGAAGACACATATGATCGAAAACTAGTAACTTAGAAATATGCGCTATTCTTATGGGTCATGTTTCAAAGTCGTAAATTAAGACGGAGCTGACTTCTGTTCAGTGAACTCGTTCTTTGGTTAGCAGACGGATATCTCGCATCCTCAATAAGTGTCCCAAGCAGGCAAATGACAATCGTGCCTTTTGTATCCGTGCCGAAATTTCCTCAGACACATGGCCATCGGGGCTGATAATGTTAAGTTAAGTGAAGCGGTCGACATACTCAACTGTTCCAGTCTCTTCACTACCTTTATTACTAGGTAATTTAATCAGTACTGCAGAGATTAATCGCTGATGATTGTAACTGAAAATAAATTCATCATCCATTTCCTGTTTTGTTTTCGTAAGATATATGATAACTGTATTTTCGATTTTACTCTTAATTTATTGAAAGCGTTTGCGAACTAATATTACTTTTAATATTTGGACAAATCAAATTATGGCCTAACCAATGTGTTATCAATTTTATGAGCTATTCCTGTTCAGTTCTATAAATTTCTTATTCTTTTGCTGACTTTGTTTCATGCATTCTCAAATAATTCTCTTGCTTCCTACATTCGTGTTTCAGCCATCATCCTTACTACATAATCTTCCTCCTCCTCCTCCTGCACCGATTTTCGAGTCAAAGAATTTCAGTGAGCCTTGTAAATCCATCAGTCAGCCTAGCGAGTCGAATACTTGTGATGATAAATCCATTTCTTCGACTCTCCTTCCGGCTACATCTTATGTTGTTTCGTCACCCGAAATATCTGTTCCATGCTCACCTCCACCCCCGCCTCCCTTTCTACCGACTCAGAATATTGGGTCTGAAAGTTCAAACAACCAATCAAATTTACAAACTAAGGATATTGTCACACGATCCGGTGTACCTCAGTGTCCTCCGGCTGATCTACTTTCTGCTATACGTGCTGGTTGTCAATTACGCAAAGTAGGAGAACGAAATCTACCTGACCAATCAAAATGTAGTCGTGCAAACAGTTTGTCGACTTTGATAAACAAACCTAAAGATGTTCAAGTTAGTCCCACTAATTTCAAGTTTAGTAAACTTGTTTTAAAGCTTTGATTTATAGCTTTTCATTTCAGTAGTCCCAATTAAGAAATTTATATAATCTCCTCAACTCTATTACTTTACAACCGAAAGCATAGTGCAAAGATGTGTTTAATTATTGAACTGATTAGAATCACAAATATACTCCCTTAAGTTCAACCTTATCATCTTATTGTACTACTTTTGTAACAGAAAGGAAATGCTGCTGTAAATATTTGTCAGTGGGTTTATTGAGATTAGTCGTGCTTGTTAAGAAGCAGCAAAACATACACATTTGTTAGTCAAAACACCAGCTTTGGTCTCTGATTTGTTACCTAACAGATGAAGTTTTAGATGTGTAATGGAGTATGCTAGTGGTTAAACCCAGATCTTCAACTACTGGGTTCTGTATTCAATCGCCACTCTACCTACTTCGGTTAGGAGTCGTTTGGTACCATTATCTACAACATAAAACATCGAGTACATAAACCTCTCAGTAAATGAATTACGCTAGAGAATAAAATTGTATGCCATTTGACTTGTTCATATTATATCCAGTAGTGTGCCAATTTGTTTATGATCAGCTTATTGATAAGTGTAAATTCAAACTTCAATAACACGTTCTTATTTTGTTTACATATGATGATTTATTATGTGACAATGCTAATCGATTTGAAAACACTCGCAAGTTTTATATAAAAGTATGATCAATAACATTTTTTGTCTACTTTTAGTATAAACTATCAATATGTAGCGTTTTGTACGAAATAGCTGGACCAGTTATTTGTATGTATATTTATTGTTTGAATAGCACCAAAAAATAGATATTGGTGTCAGAATAATTTATTAAGGTATTATCAATAAAGTTGCCAATGTTTTGTTTTCTCACATTCAGATGGAAGTTACGAGTCACTCATACTTAAGTCATATCTCCATTTTTATCAGTTTAGTTTTCAAATAGGACATTTTAACTAAATTAAATTAAATTAAAATGCTATTAGAAATTAAGGTGAATTCATGTACTCTTCAAGTGCTTACTAGAGTTCGACACTGCATGTGAGAAACTTTACTTAACGTGGTTTAGCACAATATAAGCTTAAGCTTTGTCAGGAATCCTCTTAAAGAACAGTCCAGTAAAACAATATAGAATCGTCTTTTTGTACGGCAAGAACGTTTTAGCAAATGTGATACTACTCAGGGCTTCAAATAAAGTTATCATCAAAACTAATGTACTGGAACATAAATCTTTTAGTTGGTCATATGCAGTCGCCACAAATTTAAGTGCAATTTAATTTCGAATATTAATGTCACGAACTTAGTGACGCGGTATGCGCTTTAATTCTGAACAGTAGTCGAACGTGATGGCTGGGATTTTACCGTAATGTCAATAATTATTACTGTTGGAGGTTTCCTGAGACAAAGTTCTCACATAGTATGATGAATAATAGATTTATAAACTTTTTGTTAATAATAAAGAAGAAAGTACAGAAATCCACTAGTGAGTTATGCTACCTGAAATGTTTGACCACTAATTCCTTTCAATTAAACAACCCAACCCGAGAAATTTTCATTGAGTGAACTACATGGTCTAATCCTCTTACATTCTGACTTTGTAGTCGTTTCAAGCTGGTCCTACTTTTTCCATCACTGTGTGGTAGTGTAAGCGTTAAGTTGGTGTCCATAGTTGGCAGTAACCACGGTTCATGATGTCTAAAATTTTCTCTCTGACGTAATTCAATAATACATACTATTTTTGTTGTTTAGGCGAGGGAAAGTTGTGATTGGTTATTTACCTAGGCTGATTGTCTGATAATCTGACAGGTATTTGAGGTGTCATATATTTCCCTGCCCACCGTATTCATATTAATTATTGATTGTTGACTAGTACACGTTCTGGTCTGACCAATTACATGTTCTTGATTTCAATTGTGCTCATGCCTAGTGGAATAGTGCTGGCCAGGTGTCTAGTATAGGGGAAAAGTACGAGCGTTATATCAATTTTACCATGTTTTTTTGATGTTTCAGAGATTTCAGTTAATGTTTGGTAAATTAGCATGCATGCTTCATACAATCTCTTTTATTTATTTAGTTGCTAATGCGATTTCTAATATTTAAGAGTTCTATGGCTTCTCCCTGTAAATGGTTATATCTCTCGACTAATTTGGTATGGTATTTTCTTATAATTATCTGTTTATTTAAGAACTGCTTATTATTTAGTATTTTCTTGTTTTATATTTTTTGTTCTCAGGCAATTTATGAAGCTGTTAGACGTCGTCGGGAATGTATGGAAAATAATTCTTCGGATGATGATGATGACGACAAAGACTCAGATAATAATTCTTCCGGTTGGGAAGACTAGGACTTTCCAAAATACCGAAAAATATATTCGACCATATGTTGCTGTTTCGTCTAATCGTTTACCAGTAACATGCGTTTTCTCAACACTTGATACCCACTACTGTATATTTTCTATCCCTACTTGTCTTTCGATAAATCCTAATTTTGTTCTGTTTACGTTCTCAGCTTTTCCCCTGATTGTCATTTTATTAGCTGTATATACAAGTAAAATTCTGTTCACATAGGTATATACCAACATGTCTTCGTTTACCCCAAGGTAGAGATGTTTTCTTTGATTATTTGCTTTGCTGCAAAAATTTTAGGGGGGTTTTGGCGCATTACAAGTAATGTTTTGTGTTTTTTCGATAAATTCAAGGTTTTTTTTTATGAAGCCCACTCATTGATTTTACAAATTGTTTACCTGAAATTGTTTTGTTATCCACAGTATGATACGTTAAAATCCGTTTCTTTTCCATAATTATTATTTGATTGCTCAAATCAGCTCGTATTTCGAAAACAGATCAATCATGATCATATAAGTAAATGCCAGTCATTATCGATCTTACATTGCTTACAATTAAAAAAAAAAATACTTTAGACTAATTTCCCACCAATAAATATGTATTTAATAAGCTATTAACTGTTCTACTATATGCACGATTTTAGGATTGATTTTATTGTACTCATTTTCTTACCTTTTTAAAATAGAAATCAAGTTCAATTATATATATCTGCTTGTCTAGTGAAATTATTATGACCCTTTTCTAATGGATAATTTTCCCTTCAACTGCTTCTCGTCTCTTTAGTTACCAACTATGTTCATTTATTTTTATGTTCCGGTGATGATGATCTGTGTAATTTTATTTCTTGCTTTGGTTGTAGTTGAATAAAATATCCTCGTGCTACTGAAATATTTGTATGTGTATTTTTTTGTTGGTTTCAATTGCTTCAATGCATACAAATATGAGTGTCAAGAACGCCTGAAATTCTTGACTTTATTCGTATTTCAAAAATTTCACCACGTTTAAGTAGGGCTTACGAGTCTGTAATGCTAATCTATTTGTTCTTGAATATTATTTCCCCTAGCAAATCCTTAACCTACCTATGTGGTTGTTTTTCAACTTTTTTGCCTTGATTTAGATATCAACCATAGTTATCTGGTTTTAATGCCATTTGATCGATAGTTTTCGCTTACTGTATACCGGAGACAACATATAACTTGCAATTCTTCCTACTGGTTGAGTTTGTTTGTAAGATATACTTTATTTCCAAATCATTGATTTGTTTTACATTGACAAGTGTTTTTAGGGCAAATATAAAGATAACCGTCGTTAAACTTGCTGTTGGTCATCATTCAATAACATTTGTGGATACTTCAACACCTCTAAAATAAGGTTTAGATGGTTTGTCTTTTTTTAATCTAAGATACGTCATTTCATTTATTCCAGTTCCGTAATAAACATTTAAGCTTCAATTCTGAAATCGAGTGTACTCAATATTGATCTGTTAACAGTAAAACAGAATTCGTGCAAGCTTGAAGTCTCGCTAACTAACTATCTTGTTTAACTCATAATATCTTACAACCCAATAATTGTGAACTTTTTGTGATTTGATTTTGACCAATTTGGTCTCGCGTGCTGTTATGGGTATGAGGAAGAAGACTTTTGTCCTTTCTTATAGATTGGGACAATCAGTGATTGAGACCAGTCGGATGGAATTAGGTCAAGTTCCCAGATTCTATCTAAGATCTCGGTCAACCTAGCTGCTAAAACTGGACCACCATCCTTTTAGCAGCTAGGTTGACCGAGATCTTAGATAGAATCTGGGAACTTGACCTAATCCCATCCGACTGGTCTCAATCACTGATTGTCCCAATCTATAAGAAAGGACAGAAGTCTTCTTGTGAAAATCACAGGGGAATAAGTCTAACTAATATAGTATCTAAAATATTGGCCTCAATAATACTTCGACGCTTAACGAAAGCTCGTGAAGAGCAAACTCGAGAAGACCAGTCTGGTTTTCGGCCTGGACGTGGTTGTATAGACCACATTTTCACACTACGACAGGTCCTGGAACACAGACACACATTTAGGCGTCCTGCAATAGTTGTTTTCCTGGACCTTAAAGCGGCATTTGACTCTGTGGGTCGTGAGGTTGTGTGGCAGTGCCTGTCATTGAAAGGTGTACCAAAGAAGTACATTAACCTCATACAAGCTCTCTACTCGAACACCACTGGTCTAGTGAGAGCCTATGGCGAACTGTCACCGGAATTCTTTACTTCAAGTGGTGTCCGTCAGGGATGTCCACTTTCTCCAGTTTTGTTTAATTTTATCATAGACATGCTCCTAGAAATAACCTTATCCTCCTCTGAATTTTCTGGAGTAAACCTTTTACCAGGTGGCTCGCTTATTGACTTAGAATATGCCGATGACATAGTCCTACTTGATGAAGACGCTGACAAAATGCAGAGTCTTCTGACTACCCTAAGCAACAATGCAAGCATGTTCGGGATGCGGTTCTCAACCTCGAAATGCAAAATGTTGCTTCAAGATTGGGTTGCATCGGCACCTGAACTAGTGATAGGGAGTGAAGTAGTCGAACGTGTAGACCGCTTCACTTATCTTGGGAGTCTCATCAATGCTGATGACCTGGTGACTGACGAAATCTCAGCACGGATACAGAAGGCTCGATTGGCTTTTGTCAACCTGCGTCACTTATGGCGTAGGTGAGATATCCGTTCGCTGACTAAAGGACGAGTGTACTGCGCAGTAGTTCGCTCCGTCTTACTTTATGGTTGTGAAACATCGCCAATGAGAGTAGGAGATGTTCGTAGGTTACTGGTTTTCGATCATAGATGTCTTCGAAGCATTGCTCGTATATCGTGGGACACCCGAGTGAGCAACGCTGTTATTAGGAATCGGGTCTTAGGTAAGAATGGCAGATCAGTCGATGAAGTATTGAAACTTCACCAGTTGAGGTGGTTGGGACACGTGTTGCGTATGTCTAACCACCGATTGCCTCGAAGAGCTTTGTTTTGTAATGTAGGAATAGGTTGGAAGAAAGCTTGGTGGCGGCCAAATCAAAACATAGCAGAAATCCATGAAGTCATTGACGAGTGGACTTAGCCATGTCGGTAATTGTCGACTACCTGGTTGGGGTCCGCGAGATGATAATAATCGATGGTTAGAGACCTTGAATGACATGGCTCAAAATCGTTTGCAATGGCGCCGGTGCATTTATTCTTTGTGTTCTCTCAAATCCTAATCTTCTGGATTCTTCAAAACCTCTAGTTTTGACTTTCTAAACTTTTCTCATTTAATCATACTTCTTGAATAATATCTTCTCATCCTAACCTCTCCAATTACTTCTAATACCCTTACTAACTCTTCTACTATTGGATTTGAATTGACAATTACATCTCTGTGCTGATGTGGTATGGCGACTTGAACTGATGTATTTACGTACGAAGTTCTACGTTGCAACTGACTGACTGACTTTTGTGATTTGATGTGCTCTAAATATTCAAAATCAATTAGCAGACTTGATGTTATATTCTCCAGTTGCATTTTATCTAAGTATAATTTCGTGTACACAGAAGGATCATAAGCAACTACCTATAACCTATTAAATTTATTGAAAAATCCTTAGGTATTTCCGGTAAAAGTTGAGGGTAGGGTTAGGAACCCCAGTTCATAAAAAAGCACTGGTATTGTGTAAAATAACCAAAAAATAATTTGGTAATCGATAGTCATGGTATATAAGATGATTATTTCTTCCCAACTAGTAACTCAATCGCAGTGTGTTGGAATTCCCAGTAAATTTCTCGGATTCAGTACCTACTTTCTAGAAATAAGTATTACTCACTAGAAGTCTGCTTTTCTTTTAGGGTCGTAATCCCAGCTAAAAGAAGGTTAGGTTTGGAAAATCCAACTCATGAAAAAAGAAAGTTTGAAAACTATAACTAGGACTACGGTATTCCGGTCATGTAGAGTGAAGCCCCCTCTCTCCATTCAAGGATTTGGTACTAGGAGAAAAAAAGGATAACAGGGGACGTAGGTCTTTCTTTGTTAGTAGTGGTGTAAGTTGCCCTTTATAATTATTTTAGGTTCACTGCCTATGGGCGTCATTTGCCGATGTAGACTGTAGATAGTATGGACGGCATCTTCTAAGGTGGATAAGTTGACATATTCTAATTCTTGGTGGTTTGAATTCAGACTTATTAGTCGTGATCTCAGTTGTGTTGTTGATTCATTTAGTTGAGAGCTTGTCATTTTGGTGTTAAATATCTAAGTTGAGGTAACAGCCAGTTTTTTCTCTTGTGAGCGACTTTGTATGAACCTCGTCATCAGATTATCTGGCCTTTAGTTTGCACTATACCGTAGGTCGAGCCTACTTTGCAACACTGGTCGCTGAGTTAGGTAGCGCTATTATGTTATTGAGATGCCCGACCGTAACTTGTTTCCTGTCATTCAAGCTTAGTCAGTCAGTTACAACGTAAAACTCGGCACTTACGTACATTCAATCTACGAAGCTTCTCTAACTAGCCAATAGGTGCGTCTGGAAACTAACTCCATAATCTTATACTTGGCTACCCAGATACAACACTTGTCATATGTTAAGTCATCATTATACAATTGTGATTTAAAGCAGTTTAGCACTTCTCGATTTTTATTGGTTCTCCAACTGATAGTAATCCATGATGAAAATAAATTCAGTGCTCTCCACAAACGGATGTTTTGATAATAATCATGTGTTCAGCAGAGATCAACTAGATGGATTTCCATAGCCCTACTGAAAAGTAGTAACCGATGTTCAGTCATTTCGACTATAAAACATGTCATGGTTGACGTATAATTGTTGTAAGGTCGCTGATTTACTGAACGTCTAGTATGAACGAATGGATTCTAACCTACTGATCCGAAATCCAAGTGCATACTGGTGTTTTGATCCTACTTTCGACAGTAACAATTCCGTAAAATCAGCTAATGTGTATGCTAATACCTGATCGCCAGTGCCAAAGCCTTCACACTCTTACACTGCCGATTGGAAAATTAGAAAAGCCAACCATGTGGTGAGTTAATCAGACCCAACTATTGCCCTGATTGTATTGATCAAGTACTGGACAACCTTTATATCTGCATAACGTGGACTTATGTAGCATAAATCTGAGTACTAGCTCTATGAATAACTGAAATTTTTATGAACGGGAAGACAGCAACGATTAATAAATCAAGCTCAAGCTTAAAATCAGAACAAAAATAACAATGCAGGAAACCAAGCATTCCAAAGATAAACTAAAATTATTGGTTCGGGTAGATCAGTAGCTCTTCAGTGACCTTAAATTTGACAGTCAACTAATTCCTGTTAATTATATCAAACATTTTTTGTGGAGTTTCATTCTTCAAACTAAGTGGTTTAATCATGAGACTTTGATTGTTCTTCTGAACAATGAAAGCTCCACAGCCAAAACGTCCAGCTCAGAGAACGAAATTCCACCATCTCTATATCAATCATATCTACAAACACTGATTCAACGGAAAACATGTTTCAAAGTTCTCAGTTTTCATTTATTTGCCTAATTAATATCGAAGAGACATCTATTTTGAGCTTCTATCGGAAAATCAACAATGGAAAACAAGGAGCTTTAGTTGGTTATAATCTAATGTGATAACTGATGTTCTTCATTCCATTGTCAACTAGAGTTAGCATCTTCTTTTCAAGCTACTATTCATGCAATGTAATAAATCATATTAGGATAAAAAATTTGTTCATTAAGAGTAAAATACATATCATCGTGTTATGTTTTATCCACATGCAGATGTTATGTAGTCAAGTATAAATCAAGAAAAGTCGTTCGAAATAGTTGTAGTTAACAATGATATAATTTATTTGTTGAATAGGAGATAGTTTGATGCAAAAAAACCGGAATCATTTTTATTGTCTGCAATAGATGAAGAGAACTGTAAATGTCGCCCTTTTTCACAACTAGAAACGTGACTAATCATCCTTTCTCGAAGATATCTAGCTAGTTTAATTCAGTATCACGATAAGTGGTTAAAAGTCACAGAACCTTTTATGTTGATCAAATTGTGTTCAAATTAGATTTTCCCTGTTCTGAATAGGTGCCTTTAGCCATATGTATTGCTCGATTTTATTATCATTAAATGATTGAAACTGTTACTGTTTCATAGTAACTTATCATCTTTCCAGTTCAACATTCACTCACAAAAGGATATACTGCTGGTTGGTAGGTGTCAA